GGGTGGCACACATATCACGGACCACAGGGACATTAGAAGGTTTTAGGATCCCGCCCTTCTGATGATTGGCTTGCTGGGAAAGCAAAAGAAAGTGGGGGAGCGTGAGGAGGTTTTTCTGCTCTTTTTTTAGAAAGCAAAAGGTGGAAGTTTGGGGGAATTCTTTAGGCGAATCGGGACTGCGGCATGTGCTTCATGTGTCCCCAAAGCCGCGCTGACAAGTTTTTTCCACGACGCCGGTTGTTTTTCTTTGCTCCGGCGACACTTTGTTACCCCCTACCACTGCACACTTTCTTTTTTTTTCAGTGTAGCTTGGAGGCGGAAAGGTGGAGGTGTTGTGGAGCTTAAAGTTTGCGCTGCGTGAAACTTTTTAGTTGGTTTATATTGCACCGAGCTGGGCGATAGAAACGAGCGCAAATTATGAGATGTCCTTGCTTGTGAATATGTAAGAAGCTGTTCCCGCTTCGCCTCCGCATTCTTTTCACTCTCGCTCTGAGCGCCATTTCCCCCATTTTCCACCCGGGGTTTTCCCACCCGCGTCTCACTTTCCCTTTTCGTTGTTGTTCGGTTCGGTTTCGTTGGTGGCTTTGTTGCTGCACGTGAGAGGTTGCTGATTGGGACTACCCGGCGATACCTGGCAACTGATCTGGGGTCCGACTACTGCAGCCGAAATGAAGTGCCAATCAGTGCCCCCACCTGGGGCACACATACATACCCCCAGACACACACACACACACACACCCTGAACACAACTCAGAGAAAAGAAAAAAGAAAAAGAATGGCAGACAGAGAGCTAACTTACAAGTCTCATCCCCACAATCTGCGGAAAAACGGAAGCGGGGGAAAAGCTGTCTTAAGATTTCCCGAAGCTCGTGATTAACAATCCTCCTGACGGCCGCATAAAGAGATATATTTGGTGATTGTCGTTCGGAAAGCACAGCTTAGTTGTTATTACTTGCATTCAGAAAAAACATTTGTGGGTGTGCCATTTATAATTTGGAGTTTTTTATACCTTCTCACAGTTTCTTCTTACAATTAAATTAGGCAGTGATTAATATAGCGTGATTGTGGGTATTTAAATGTATTTCAATTGGAATTGATTGTAGTAAGCCAAGTGGTTAAAGCTACCAAATGAGTTCTTAACATTCATGATATTTATTGTACATTGTTGAATAAATACGAACCCTCGAAAACATGAGCTTATTTAAACATCAAACTCGTATCATCAGCAAGTCGAGTTTAACTCAATTAATGCTTAATTCGTTTACCCGTACTCCGCTACAATTTAATTCGACTTCGAGCTGAGAGGCGAGTGATTTGCTGGTAAAATAAATACATCCCGCAGCTGCAGTCCCTTTTCTCCGATGGCACAGAAACCTGACTAATGACATTTTAGTGATGCTGGCCAGAAAGGTTCGCTAAAATAAATTGGGCCCAGATCCGTGAGCCGTTAGCCGTTGGCCGTTAGCTTTTGGCCATTGGCAGCAGGATGGTGCTGCTGCAAATAATAATCACATTAAATTAGAAAATTCTGCACTCATAATTTTGCTCATTTCTGCTGTTGCTTTTGTTGCCTTTGCTGTCGCTTTTGCTGCTGCTGTTGGATTTTTCGCTTCCTGTCGTTCGCCTGCCAGAGGCGCCACGCCCCTTTGGCATACAAAAATCAAGGGGAGGCGGAAGGGGGGGAAAGGGAAAGGGGAAAGGGGGCAGTGGCATCATCTCGCGGATGCCAAAAAAGCCAGCGGCATATTTGAAATGGCTGTAATGGCAACTGTTTTTATGCCGTGCTTTTTGCCAGGATCGAATTCACGTTGGGATTTCGGGTGGCAACTTTCGACCGAAGGTGGGGTTCACTTCATTTGGGGGCCTGGAAAACAGACAACGCGGAATTGTGGCAGCTGTGCTGTTGCTCGTTGCCGCTGCAGTCGAAGTGAATTGCTTTCTGGATGCTGAAATTCGGCTGGAAATATTGTATCGGACAATAAATGGTGTTCGGATTATCCTTCTTTTTCCCTTCCCCAAAAAGAAAAAAAAAACACTGAGCTGCGGAAATCATTTTTGGAGCACCATAAATTGCTTCGAAGAGCTTCGGTGAATCCAACTGAAATCAAAATGCAATCAAATTTATGCACAACAATATTTGGAGAGCTCAAGTACCTCGGTCTTCTGTTTCGATTGGCAAAGCATGTGAGCGATGTGATTCGCCAATTACTTCGCAGGTCTGTGAAGTCAGTCAGAAATTGTGAGCTCTCGATGGCAGTTGAACTTCCTCTGCGGTTGCCCTCATAAATTTACCACTTGACTCTGTGAATATTCAGTGTTCTTTCTCTCACGATAAATGCAATTGGTTTTGATAACTCGAATTTGACTAAATATAAATTTGTTTTAACTAATTACCAGCTTAAACTTGATTGCTTTGTTGATTAAGAAGCACTTCTGTTTTGTTTTTTGGTAAAGATGATTGCAAAAGTGAAAGGGAATTTTATAAATTAATTCAAATGAAGCTTTTAGTAGAAAGCCCTTTCTATTGCATTACATAAATTGTTTATAATTTTGTTTCTACTTTTTTGAAGGACCTTCTATTTTTTCATACTTTAAAAAGGGATTGCACAGGAGTAAATAAGAATTATAAAATCTTCTTCTATAAACATCTCTTACAATTATGTTGTATTTTTAGAAATGAATGCTAAATTGTTCCCCTTAAAAAGACTTCAACTATGTTTTACTTTTTTGTTGCATCAACGATGAATTTTTAAATTGAATTCTTAGCATCGAGTTGCACTTGGTGTATATTAGCCTGCCGTGTTTAATTTATATTGCTGGGAATTTATTTTGGCTCTGCTAAATGGGCCAAGGCAATGCCAGTTCCCCCACCTCCGCTTTCCACGCTCACACATTTCCTTGCCAAATGATTTGGCCTGCCGCCAACACAATCTACAACAACAACAGCAACAATTGCAATAAAGGCACCAAAAACCGTGGCGAATGCAACAAAAATGCGCAATTTGCAATTGCAGAGAACACAGAATACAGAGCACAGAGGAAATATCTCTTTATGTGCTGGCAAAAAGGGGGCGGGGCAACAGGATATAGTGCTTCCAAGGGAGAACGGTGGAGAAAGGGGGAGGGGAGGGGGAAAAGGGGGAGGTAAAAATGTGCCATACTCTCCGCTTGGCGTTTGGCATCCGCCGCATAAAATCAAAATTAATTTGCTAATAATGTTGTCGTAATTATCTAATTGCCTTCGCATAGAATGCCCGGAATGCAACTTCTCCCTGCGACCTTCCGTCATCTAAAATATCCAATCTCCTACTCCACTCCCAGTTTTTGCTGCAAATTGTACAATAAATTCATTAATCGACCGAAAACCGCACAAAATAATTACTGACTAGACTGTGTGTGTAATGGCAAAAACAAAAACCCTTAAATAGCTAAAAAATTAAGCCAATAATTGTATTTAAAATATGTCTAAAAGTAAGGGATTAATCGAATACTTAAGTTGTAAGTGGTGGATTATCTATAATTTTCTGTTAAGGATTTTTATATACATATATTTTTGTAATTTGTAGTAAGATAACTTGGGATTAAAATGCTATTTTTTATTGTTTTTTTTCCTGTAAAATAAAAAAAAAGGATTACAAGAATTCTAAGCAGAAATTATGGAAGTAAGCTGGGAGGAATTTCGCGGGTGGACATCTGCTGATTCGCCCGCTCCATTTGCCAATCATTCGAAATATTCGATTCCAATTCGCATTTCAACATGCAGAAGCCAGGAGCGAATTTGTATGTGTGTGTGTGTGAGTGTGTGTGTGTTGGTCAGCCGTATCTATATGCTATATGTGTGCGTGTGTTTATGCGGGCAGTGGGACAAAGTCAATACGATCCGAAATCCCGATCCGAATCCGAATCCGAATCGCAATCCCAATCCGAATACCAATCCCAAATCCTCAATGGCGACCGAGTGCCCACACGCACACACATTTCGCATCCGATTGTTTCGCGCCATTGCCGCAAAACCACGGGCGATGTCAACGTTCCGAAACCCGAAATCCTTTTTCCCGCACCCAAATGCGATGCGTTTGTTGATTTGTCAGGCCGCCAGCCTTTTTCCTCTGCCCCTAACCCCCTTCCCCTTCCCCTTCTCCATTACCCAATCCCTCCATCCGCCAACCGATTTACCCCGATTTACCGCGCCCCCGGCAGCGAGTTAAGCGGCGCGTAATTATGGCCAACAGTTAAGAGCCCTCCAAAGGGGCGAAAGGGGGGGTGAAAGGGGGGTGAAAGAGGGGTGAGTGGGGAGGCAATGTGGCAAGGGGGAGACCATAAAACCCAAAGAGCATGCAGGAGCGTGGAGGAGCCCAAAGCCGTCCAAGTCCAGCACTTTTCACAGCGAACCACTGAAAAGGCACTGCGAAAATGATTTCCCAACCATGAAATCGTTCCCAGAAGAGTGAAAACTATAAATCTCAGAATACACTTTAGCCATAATATTACATAAAATCAAAAACAAAATCTAAATTTAAAAAAGGCAAAAAAGGCCATGAAAAATTTCCTTGAAAAATATTTAAAAAAAATCCACAAAACTAATATGTCGAAGAAATTCCATTTCTTCAAAAAATAATTTAAAAATGTAATTAAGTATATATTTAAAAAAAAAAGGACAAAATCAAAATATATATAAGAACCTAATGAAGGAAAGTTACTCCAAGTGCATTTAATTTCAATTTGGCATTTAAATTGTTTATCGTTTGTGTATGTGTAAGTGTGTGTGGCGGCAAGGATATGCTGTGTGTCCTGCAATCGGGCGACAGCCAAACACACACACACACACACTAGCACACACACATGAAATCGATAGCTTAGCGCGCAATTAAAAAACCCAAAAGTCAGTTGGCGCTGCACTTTGTAGGCTTCTCGTCGCCATTTCACCTGTCGCTTGTCGCCAGTTGCAAGATGAAAGTTGTCAGTACAGTAACCTCTCCTTTGCTGCGCTCCTTTTGCAGGTATCCTGGGTGCGGCACAGGGACATACACCTGCTGACAGTGGGACGCTACACGTACACCTCCGACCAGCGATTCGAGGCGATGCACTCGCCACACGCCGAGGACTGGACTCTAAGGATCCGGTACGCCCAGCGCAAGGACTCCGGCATCTACGAGTGCCAGATATCGACCACGCCCCCCATCGGACACTCCGTCTACCTCAACATCGTTGGTGAGTCGCCCTTCCCCTTAAAAATTACAAATACCTGCCTACATTTTACAACAAATTTTAAGTTAACCAACAAAATATTGAACAGCAAACTCTATTCCATGTTTGCTTGCTTATTGTTCATTTAGTTTTTGAGGGAACTGCTTTTTGGGATTACTCTCAGTTAGGTGAACATTTTCCCTCAAATTCTGCACTACAAGTAGTTAGATTTCTAAAAATCAACACTTTAATAGCTGAACCAATTATACAAATATTAAAATCGTTTAATGAGGGTTAGTAGATAAAGTGTTAAGGGGTTATATCCAGTTGCGATTTTGAAAAAATCGAAATTTTTTTTTTTGCCTATTTTGAATGTATATATATCTAAGAAGATTGTCTGAAAATTTCAAAGTATTCCGGTAAATAGTATTGGAGTAATAAGTGTATTTGTAAAGACGCCTCCCATGTAGTTCAACTAGTAGCCAAAACTTTAAGTGCGTTTTTCTCGAAACTATGTCTTCAAAGTCGGTGAGCAAAATTTCTCAGAGACGGCTTGTCCGATTGACTTGAAACTTTCACATTCTCTTCTTAGATATTTTTTTCAGGTAATGAAACTTGGAATTTTGGCTCCGACAAAAACTTCGATTTTTTTAGCCACTTCAAAGTTGAAATTTTTGTGCCAAAAACAAAGTTTTATGTTTGGGAAGCCGCCATTTTGTCAAAAATCAAAATTTTGAAAATCCCAAGTCTCATTACCAGCATTTGTCTATTCTTTACGTAATCCTTTTGGTTTTTTGCATTTCAAATAATTTGGACCGGAGATATTTTGCTCACCGCAAAACCTTTTTTTGAAGTGGACCCTCGGGAGATCCTCTACAGGACCGACGGAGTCCAAATTTTTTTTTTTTTAAATATATTCTAAAACTAGAAATAATGACCTATCTTTTCATATATATTACGTATTCATACAATAAATAGCCTCTCCAAAAATAATTTTCAAAAAAGCTCATTTTTTTGGCCTCGCAACTGGATATAACCCCTTAAAGCAAATGAATACACATTTTTAAGCTAATTAGTTAAAAGATGCCGAGATATCTCCCACAGGTTTATAAGCCTATATTTGAATTATCACTTTTTAATGGTCAGTCGTTTTGTAGTCGTTTTCATGTCCCATATAACTTATACGCCCTGTTGCCAAATCAAAAATGTTTATTTTTTGTATAGCGAATTTTGTGAGAAATCCTTAAAAACTCGAGGAACGAGTGTGTGTGGAAGTGTACTTCTTGGAAAAGGTGTTGCGCACATGTTTGTGTCGTTTTATGGCAGCTTTTTGCCGTTTGATGATTCCCCCGGGCGCCATTTGCACTTTATGGCTTTTCACAGGCCGACGACGCCGAGTCCACATCTACATCCGCATTCGCATTCGCATTCGCATTTCCATCCGCGTCCAGTCACGCCCACTTTCTCGCCCACCCAACGCCTGATGATCCAAGATGGAGGAAACCGTATTCTGAATACTGTTGACTGTAGACTGTATACGGGATACTTTATACCGAATTGTGGGTGCAGGATTCGGGACTCGGCTCATAAATCACAACTTATGCGGCTAGAGGCAAGAGGCAAGAGGCCTTCTCCTTCAGGCGCCGCAAACTAATGACACGACACACAATATTTTGCGTATTTTAGATTTACTTTGTCATGACCGCAGCTGTGGTTACTTTTGGCCAAGAGGAGAACTGGGGAAGGGAGTTGTATTTCGTATTTGACTCGTATTTTTCACAGAGCCACATATTAAGAAGGAAAAATGAAAGAAACTTTTTTTGCAGGTTTTTTAGGTTTGAAGAATTAGAAAGAATAAAAGGTTCCTTGATTTTAGCATTAATGGTTTCCTTTTTTTAATATTTAGGAATACAAAAAAGTAATTATTAAACAGAAAAATTATTCATTTACTATAAAATTAATTATCGTGGTTCATACTTTAGAAGCAAACAATTTTGTTTTGGCAATTTCACTTTTGCTGCATTTTTGTTGAAATTGTTTTTCCGATTGTTTAAATTCATATAATATTAATATTCCTCTAACTTTTCTGCAAACATTTTTTGAGGAGTGTCCCCTCATTTGTTAGTCACTTTGTAGATATCACATTTAAATAAAAACGTCCCTCGCTGCCGCTTTTCACTGCATAATTTGTTTTATTAATTGTTGGAAAAATTACAAGCGAAACTTTTTCCGGCGAGGAGCGAGTGAAAAGTTAGGACCCTCGAGCGAGGGGAGGAGGAGGAGTCCTGGGGGAAGCGGAAGTAGCAGCTTATTTTGGGGCAGGACTCACTCAGACACTCGCATTCACATTCACACTCACATTTACACCCACATTCACATTCACACTCACACTCGCATTTGGAGTCACTGTCAGGCCCGAAAGCAAAAGCAAACAAATATGAAAATAAATAATGCAAATTTGTTTATTTTTCACACTGTCACAATATTTGAATAGTAATCAAAGCACACACACACACACACATACACATCCACAACGCACACACAGATAAGAGAACATGGACGTGGGAGCAAAAGTTAGAAGGGGTGCGGCATTTGGATTAGGAATATGACTCGGAATCGGAATCAGAGTCAGGACCAGAATCCGAATCAGAAACAGAATCGGAATCGGAATCGGAATCGGAATAGGAATAGGAATACGAACAGGAATGGTGAAGATTGGAGAGGAGGAAAGGACGAAGGACGAAGGACGAACATGTGTACGGTTGCATGAAGCAGACTATAAACATAAACCAAACCATTATTATAATGTCAACACAAACACACATAATTCCACTTTCAACACTTTGCCTTCGGGCTTCGAGTGGCGTGGTGTTGTATGTGCGGATATGGATATGGATATGGATGTGGATGTGGATGTGGATAAGGATGAGGTTGTGGATGTGGATGTGGATGTGGATATGGATAGGGGTTGCAGGTCCTGCCGGATATTCGGGGCTGGGGAAAGGCGAAAGGCGTGGCTCTGCCCGCAGTCACGCACAAACACATTTGCGGTTGTTTGCCACACAACCGGAGAATTTCTGACCAGGCTCAAGCTCTGATTCCCTGATATACCTCGATTCGACTAGAGATCATACACTCCCAAATAGAAACTCATTCGATGCACTCTGAAAAGGATTTACATTTATTTTTGGGTCTCAATTCACAATTTAATATTCAAAACTATATTTCTAGGGTAGAAAAGTATACAAGAATTAGGAACTTTCAGTTTCATTTTGTAGGGATTATAAGTTTCTCAAATAAATAAAATAAATATTTATAGTTCCTTGGAATGAATATGTAATTCTGTAGAGTATATCCCCTTAATATCCTGGCAGAAGGATTGCTGAAATGTCGGCACTGGCAGTTCTTGTTATGCCAAATGCCAGCAAATAAAGTGCGTTCGTCTGTCCGTCCGTTTGTCTTTCTGTCCGTTTGTGGCTTCGTGACGAAAGTCTTTTCGGTTGGAACGAGGGGCGAGTGAGTTTTTGTCACTTTCTGGTCATTGTCAGTGACGACAGACGCCATGAAATCGGGCGATTCGATTCGTTTCGATTCGTTTGGATTCGACTCGATTCGATTCGAGGGGTGGCAGAGCAATCGCCGGTGAAGTTATTGGTTTTGTGGGGTGCGACATGCGATATGCCAACGATATGCCAAATAATTCAAGTCAATTTCCTGGACAAACCCAGAACGCCAGAAGGTTTATGATGGGACTGAAGTGATACAGAACATGGGGTATAAATATATGGGCAATATGTGCTGAAAGAACTGCAGTAATTCAGTTGGTAGTCTGATTGGAATGATTACCTTTATGCAAGTTATTAATTGTGAAGAAGTAACTACTTATACTTGTTTTCCCATTAGATAAGTTGGCTTAAATTGGCCAACACTTTAAGCGGACTGTAATCATGCAAAACCCTTTCTCCGATGATTTGTGCAATAATTTCCCATCCAACCGAATCGAATCGAATCGAACACATCAGCCATTCCCGTTGCCCCATGCTGTTTATAATATGCATGGAGTTCGGTTGCATATGGAATTTATAATGCACGGCCGATAGATTCGGGCTTTGCATCCTGTCAACTGCAAGCTGTTTGCCAGGACTGCCTTTTGTCCCGATTGTTCGCACCGGACAGTCAATTCGGGAGTCAATCAACGGACAAAAGTCGAATACGCAATTGGCATTCGATGTGGCATTTATATATGTATGTGCGAGTATACTATATGTACACATACATGTCGGTGGGGCAAGTTCATAAGCTGTCGCCCAATCAACTATTGAACCAGAGAACCAGAGAATCAACGAACCAGCGAACCGGTGAACCGTGTACGTGCCACGGATTGTGGCAGCCAACTCATTGTCCTCTTCGGTCCATTGTTCCCACACCCAAGAGCTTGTTGCTCCTTGCCGAGGGACCAATTTGCCATTTCCCATTTGCCATTTACCATTTACCATTTACTATTTACCATTTCAATCGCCCTAAAGCTTAACTGTTCGAGTTAAAAACTCGTTAGCCGAACTAAAAAGAAGAGTTGCTGACTTAAGGCCAAGATCATTATAATCCACTTTGGGTTGCAACTTAAAAGTAACCCATAAATATTTACTAACTACCGGGTATCTGTGGGTCGACTTGAGCTCCCTTGACTTTCTTGTTGCGGAATTGAAATATGGTGACGGTATCATAAAATCGCGCCTCGTAGAACAATGGCGACAACGGCAACAAATTTTATTACCCACAGCCAGCGCCAAAAAAAAAAAAAAAAAACGAAAAAAATAAAAACATGAAGGTCGAGGTCCTTTAGCAAACTTCGGGACGATTCAATTGAAAACGCATAAAGGTTTATGGGCGTGTAAGCCTTTGCCTTTGCCTTTGCCTTTGCCTTCTCCCAATTCCTCGGCTTCTTCAGCTTCAGTTTCAGTTTCCATTTCCGAAAGACGAAAGGCGAAAGGCGAAGGGGGCGTGCCCCAAAAAGTTGCTCTAAG